ATACCTGAGTCTATGTGGCTAAGCGGCCGGCGAAGCAGCCATTTAACCTAGCAAATGAGATGCAGCAATATTGTCTTCTTGGGAAAAAGCTATTTGCTTTGTGAAAACAACAAAACTTTGAGTAACCTTTCATTGAAATAAGACAAAATTTCTGTCTAACCTTTTGGTTTATGAGAATGAGACAGAAGGTAACACACTGGTATTCAGTTGTACAACTTGAAAACACTCCTGAAGATGCATCTTTTCAGTGGTCAAATGATTCAATTATCCTGTTGTGATGCCTGGAGTTGGTTTATTAGCCAATGACTCAGAACCTCTAGTTAGAATGAATACAACTCAATAAGCATCTTCACTAGATTTAGATGGAGGTGGTTTTTCTATTCAAAGACAACTTCCCTTTGACCATATTTTCTCCATATAAGAAGCAAAGGATGCATCCAGTTATGTGAAAGCATGAAGAAAATTGTCAAAGGATGGGTCAGCCAGAGTATACGCTTGCTCGTGACTATAAAAGGATACAGGTTGGGATCAAAGCAGGGATCGTTCAGGATGTTCCTGAGGAGGTGTGGCCTGCCACCAAATCAAGGGAAACTGATTTCAGGTGGTAGTTCACAATTAAAGCAGAGGATTTTCTTTTCCTTTTGTATTTTGAGAAATTCACTTTTAATATCCTCTTCAGTCTTCAGAGTGAATCCAGCTTAACACTAATCAGTTAAATAATCGACTGGTGTTTAATGAGTCAAATACTATGCTGAGTTCAAAAAGTGTTTCTTGGCTTCTACTACTATCTGGTTGATGTTAGATTTATGAAATGATAATATCAGGTAGAAAAGGACAAGAGGTGTAGGAATTCAGCGGAGAGGAAGTTCATTTGGAGTTGTGATAATCAGGAAAGTTTGAAACATGTTGCATTTAAACTGGGCATGAAGGACCTGTAGGATTGAGATAGGTGGTGTGGATGCGGACAGGCATTTGGACACTGGGAATGGCATGGAAAAGGCAATGGGTTGAGAGAGGACAATGTATATTCAGGGGACAGAGACTAGACTGATTCATCTGAAGCAAAGAATGTGTAGAATAACAAAGGATGGTGATGCTGAAAAAGTAGATTGGCAAACTGTTAAAAGGCATTGGGAGCCACTGAGTGTTTTTGAGCGAGGGAGGGACATGATGAAACTGCCGGCCGCTGTGTGTTGGATGGATCAGAAGGGCACAAGCTCATTGGGATAAACAAAGACCATGGATGTGCTAGTAGAAATTTTGGGATCCTCAACATTCCTGATCCAGGTAAACATAGATATTTCCTTTTTTAAAATCTCTAGAATGGAGCTATCTGATAGAACTTATCGCAATGATAGAAATGTTCTAAACTGACCAAGATGGTAGCCACTAACTATATGGGCCTACTGAGCACTTGAAATGTGGCTATTAAGACTGTGGAACTCAATTTTAAATTTTAATTAAGTTTGATTTAAATAGCCACATGTGATTAGTGACTACTAGATTGAGCAGCACAGCTCTAGAAGGCAGGACGGAGGCTATTTATTGATTGAAAACCAAACCACACAGTTGCCAAACTAGATCTTAACTCTGTTGGAATGGTGGGGCCAATTCTTTGATATAACCCACAATCAGCATCAATTTTTATCATTATGGCCTGGTTTTCTGTGTATCACGATGTCAGTGAAAGTACCCATTTGTGCCAATCACTGGCTCTGCTCTACAGGTAAACCGAGCCACCCCAAAACCTGCCATTTCAGCTTATCACTGTGGCCACACATCCCTCAACTGAGTAGTTGTTAAATCATTTGCAAGCTGCTCTAATGTCTACTGTTGTGTGGAAAACTCTTAGAACTGTTCTATAGTTTGGCCTGTACTCTAGCACATATGTTGAAATAAGAAATTGCTGGTTATCATTTGGATGCTAATTAAAGTTACTATTGCCCTTGCTTTCGGATTAATGAAAATGGTAGTTTAAGAATTTCCAGACCTGGCTGGACACAGTGGCTCATGCCTGCAATCCTAGCACTTTGGGATGCTGAGGTGGGTGGATTGCTTGAGCCCAGGTGTTAAAGACCAGCCTGGGCAACATAGTGAGGCCCTACCTCTAATAATAATAATAATAATAATAATAATAAAATTAAGAAAAGAATTTCCAGGCCAGGCATGGTGGCTCATGCCTGTGATCCCAGCACTTTGGGAGTCCAAGGCAAGAGAATCATTTGAGCCCAGGAGTTCGAGGTTATGGTAAGCTATGATCATGCTGTTGTACTCCACCTTAGATGGAGATCCTATCTCAGAAAACAAAAAGAGAAAAAAACCCAGCTTGATGTTAGTATAAACAACTAAAGCACAAAACTATGCCCACTGGGCATTTTACTGTCTGAATTCACACACAGTGCTTGTCCCTAAGTCTGTGTAACCATTGGCTGCCTTTGACGTAAGGGCTCAGTTCGTTAAAGCATAAAGCTGAGGCTCAAGTCATGGGTCCAGTCTCATTAATGGCCAGTTATTTTTATTTTTATTTTTTTTAATCTCTTACTGGAATAGTTACTCTGGATATGGAATGGCCAGTTATTTTGCTCTGTTCTCATTCTCTATCCCTGCCCCCACTTTCTGTGTTGCATATTCATGACCTTGGTCAGGAGGGTGGCCTGACCAGAAAGGGAAGAGGAAGGCAAATCCATCACCACAGCTACTAGCAAAACAAGCACAAGCCCTGGGAATGGAGGATAAGATGTATTTTCTACTATACAAAGGAAAGTGTTTAAAAAAAAATAAGAATGAGGCACTCAAAGCTGGTGAATGGCGCTGTTTGGAAATACTGCACTTCAGACCACTAACTGAGTGTACTGGTGACCATCACAAGCTGGAATGTACAATGAGACAGTTAGTGTGGCCATCAGTCATTTAAAATCATGAGACACTAAACAGACACCCTATATGCTAAAATGGATAATGTTTTTCTCATGATAAGTTGTCATGACCTAACACTTGCTTATTATGTTCTGATAGTAACATATTTTCAAATTTAAATATAAGAACGTTCCCTCTGCTCATTACCTATATGAGTCATTCATAAATAACAACAAAAAAGATAATAAAATTTTAAATGAAAAAATAATGGGGTGTTTTATTTATTGACAGGGATAATAAGGCTTTTTATAATAATCTGTATAGAATTTAATGAAATGTAAATCCACACACAATCAGCAAGAATCTGTTCTGGCAGTTGGAGATGATTAGTGGAGAATCCTGAACGGTGGATATTCATCTAAGTACTATTGGACCACGAGGTGGAGAAGGAGGGGGTCGAGGATGGTGAAGAGGTATTATTTACTATCAAACCAACCAACCAACCAACCAACCATGTCTGTCTCTACCTCCCTCACACACACAGTAAGATGTCTGGCAGTGAGCAAGGCTCTTGACCTCTCTAGACCTTAAGAGGCAAAGTGAGAATTGTCCTCCAGCTAGAAAATGTCACAAAGTAAATGTTTTGCTTTAGGTTTTCTTTCCCAAACACTCCATATTCCTAATGTAGGAGAAAGAGTCATTATTACATTCCTATGGTCTTATTTTAATTTAAAACCCTTGGGTAAGAAGTATCTTTATAAACCAGATTTTCATCTTAATCTTTGCTGCTTCTGCCTCCTACTGCAAATTAAATTAAAAATAAATATTATTGGCTGGGTGCTGTGGCTCACGCCCGTAATCCCACCACTTTGGGAGGCTGAGGCGGGCAGATCACAAGGTCAAGAGATTGAGATTATCCTGGCCAACATGGTGAAACCCCGTCTGTACTAAAAATACAAAAATTAGCCAGATGTGGTGGCAAGTGCCTGTGGTCCCAGCTACTCGGGAGGCTGAGGCGGAAGAATCACTTGAGCCCAAGAGGTGGAGGTTGCAGTGAGCTGAGATTGTGCCACTGCACTCCAGCCTGGCGACAGAGCAAGACTCCGTCTCAAAAAAAAAAAAAAAAATTCTTTTAACCTGCAGGAGACAGCTCTAGTGTCATGCTTAAGTGCTTGGACTCTCAGCTAGATTTTTGGGTTCCACTTAAATTAGGCAAGCCACTGAATTGTTCAGTGCCTCAGTTCCTTCGTAAAAATAATAATGATACCTGTCTGACAGGATGGGTAGGAAGATGAAATAATACATTCAGCACAGGGCCTGGCCATAGTCAGTGCCGAATAATCGTTATTTTAAAACTATTTCCATTTCTCCATCTTCAATATATGTATATGTGTGTGTATGTATATATCACAGGTTATATATGTATATAATCATATAACCTCAGACACAGGGTTTCACAGCTAGAATGAATTTCTAGACCAAGTACAAAATTCTTGTTACATCTGTGTCCTTTCTGTCAGATTCAGAGGGTTGGTGTGATTTGGTGAGTGACAGAAATGATACTTAACATGAGATTCCTGGCTTGGGGCTGCATCATTTTTACTTTTCTTCCATTTACTTTTATCTTGTTTAAATAACTTCCTATAGAACAATTTCCTTTAGATATGAAATGTTCTATAGGTTTTTGGTTCTCGGTAAATTATGATATCACAATAACGTGGCTTCTTTTCCTGATTGCTGATCTCTTCATAAATTAGGAAGTGTATTTACTTAAAGCAGTCTATTTGCTGCTGAAAACCCAGTGACTTTTAAGTAGGCAGTCAGAAGAATTTGCTTTATGAAACACACAAACTCTTAACACTGGACCTTTAAAATGTTCAGATATCGACATCACGAATGTATTATCTAATATGATAACCCCCGAGCAAGGGCTTAAGCTCTATTTTATGTCCCATCCCTGACTCACGGTAAGATCTTGGGCAAGTCACTTGACCTTCTTACATTTCAGAGTATCAAACTGTGAAAAGCATGTCCATAAAACGGTGCAAGCATGACCTCATTATAAACCCGATGGACTTGAAAACCAAGATGGGCTTTGATACATTAAAGAATTACCAAAAGAGAACTCTAGTTTGTAAAAAACGAAGACTCAGAAAAATGAATTTTATTATAGTAAGTAAAAGGATTCTGAAATGTACAGTTTTTAGCAAGTAAAGTCATAAAAAAGTTTCAACATGTTATATTTGGGTGAAATAAGGTTAATGACAGAGGAAAAACATTATTTTACAGAATGCTTGGCTTTCAAAACCATAGATTGTAGCAACTTAACCAAGACCAAAATAATTACAAGGATTGGAAGACTAACAGAAACAAGTAGATCCTTAATAATTAAACACATTTCATTTCTGGGCCATTATTCTCCCTGTACTTACACAATGCACACCACGTTTTAAAAAGTATTTCCCCGGCTGGGTGCAGCGGCTCACACCTGTAATCCCAGCACTTTGGAGGCTGCAGCAGGTGGATCACTTGAAGTCAGTTCGAGACCAGCCTGGCCAACATGGCAAAACCCCGCCTCAACTAAAAATACAAAAATTAGTGGGGCATGGTGGCAGGCGCCTATACCTGTAATCCCAGCTACTCAGGAGGCTGAGGCAGGAGAATTGCTTGAACCCACGAGGCGAAGGTTGCTGTGAGCCAAGATCACGCCATTGTACTCCAGTCTGGGCAACAGAGTGAGGTTCTGTCTCAAGAAAAAAAAAAATTGTATTTCACTACCTACCATATGAAAAGCCCCACAGAAAGAATACCAATACCCTTGGGAAAGAAGCAGTTTTAATAATGAGTTTGGCCATTTAGGCTTGTAACTGACTGGATTATTGAGTATTCTTTAGAATTACTTTGTATTAGTCCCTTTCCTTCTATTTCCAACTCTCCCATTAATATGTACGCTTTATTCCTACTCAGGTTTTCCCCTGTGAGCCCAAGAGTAGTAGTATTTTTTGCAGGGATTGGGATTAGGTTGGTGAGGTGAATAGTGTCTTTCTAATCTGCAGAGGGAAGGCAGCACCATCCCCTGGCTTGCTGCTGCAGCCGCTCTCTAAATTAAACAGCAGGTTCACTCTGCGGGATTCCAGAAGGAACATCAGTAGAACAGCTCCACAGATGCTGATGTCTTTTTGAGGTTATCCCAAGAAGTCTTGTGGCATGTGCAATGTGCCTGTATTTCCCCTTCTTTTAAAACATCTTCCTGCAGATTCTGTCAAAACCAGAAACAAACAGAACCAAGCAAAGCCCTTTCTAGCAGATCATGTTAATCACACACTTTGCCATAGTCTGTGAAAGAGTCAGCAAATGATAACCTCCAACTGTTGCCTGGGCCCTGTAAACAAAAGATCAAATTCTGTGTTCTGCCTTGGCAAGAAAAGAAACTGCAGCATTTTGTCAAGATTTTCACAAGTCCTGGGCTTCACATTACTGGCTGAAATTGTTCTTTTTCTACCTTCCAGAAAAATGGAAACCACTGGTAAACTTAAAAGATTTAAATATTCTTTTAAAAGAAATATGTTAAAAAATGGAAAACTAGTAAATTTAAATATTCTTTAAAAATGAATATAATCAAGATTGTAGTTTAAAATACAATCTAGCTCCATAATAGAGGCAATTGGCTGTATATTCCACTTGTAATCTAGGAGATTTGAAACTTCTGCTTTTTCTCTTCTTTGTTTCTGTGGATTTATGAATAAAGACTCTGACCCCTCTCAGGATCGGAAAAATTACCAAAAATTTAAAGCCCGAGTTTTAAGGTCTGTAGAAACTGCACAGGTACTAATTTTAGTAAGACGGGCCTCAGGATGAATAGTATTCTCCACAAGGAGAACAAAATAGTAGGAGAGAAATATTCAGGCAACCTAAAAAATATTCAGTGGAAACATAAAACATTAAAGACTGATCTAGCATAGCAACATGACACAGATTTAGCAATTGGACATACATAATTTGGCTCGGATATTGCTCCAAAATCCGAAGAACACGGGACCAATTTCGTCCAGGAGGACAACTACCTCGTCCTCTGCAGACCCCCTCCTCTGCCACTGAAGGAGTGCGGCCGATTCCTGTGCCTCCACCTCCCCGCGGACCCCCTAGTCCCAGGACTTCCCGCAGCACCCCAAACTGGAAGTGGCTGCTGCAGACTCAAAAACGAGGGGCACGCGGGAGCCGGCAACCCCAGTGGAGCGGTTGGAAACGTTGAGGTGGGAGAATCACCCAGGTGGGGTGAGGCTGGGGTGGGTAGCAGGGCGAACGGTTCCAAAGCTCTGGGTCGCCCCAAGGTTGGACTAGGCAGGCGCTCTGTCTTCGCCCCGGCTCGGGATGGGCGTCTCCTGAGAACTCCCCGCCACACTTGCCCCGAGACTGCGCACCCAGCCTAGAATTCTCCCAGTCGCCGACGCCGCGCAGGGTCGCTGCGACAGGCGCGCAGGGAGCGGCAGGAGGCCGGGCGGACCGGGAGGCGGGGCCACGCGGGCAAGGCCCGGCCGTCGCAGCTCCATTCTGCGCGAGGCGACTCCGCCACGGCGGAGGGATACGGCGCTCCGTATATATTCCGGGGAGCAGGCTCGCGCTCCGGCAGTGCTGTTGCGAGTCTCGTGAACGCGGCGCGGTTACTGGTAGTTAGGCGGCGGCGCAGGCGGCGGCGGCGGCGGCACAGAGCACAGCGCGCCTTAGCAGCGGCAGCAGCACCGTCGGAGGCACCCCGGCCGTCACAGCCCCCGCGCTGGTGCAGCCACTCTTGCTCCCTCTGCTCTTGCTCCCTTCGCTCACACCATGGTAGGTCGGGAGTGGCAAATGCCGGCGTAGCAGCTGCCCAAGATTTCTTCTCAGATCTCTGTTTTGTTTTTTGTTTTTGGTTTGGGGGAGGTTTCTCCTTTCTGAATGTTACGCAGCCGCTGCGTTTAAAGGAAGATGCATTTTGGATTTGCATCTCGGCGACCTCTGCCAGGGAGCTTCATTTATTGGATCCCCTTGGACTGGACTTGGCCGTGGGCCGTCCACCGGCAGGGGCTCCAGCCACAACAGCAGCGGGGCTTTCCGCATCCACCCCGCACCCCCAGCCCCCACCCCCTCCCCCTCCCGGCCCCGCACCCACTGCATCCAGCAGCGCCGCACCCGGGCTGCCTGCTGCGAAGCGTTTCGGCCCGGGAGCCGGGCGGGGCCGGGCACTAGACCTCCCCCCCGCCCCTCCCCACCTCGCTTCTCCCCCGGCGCGAAGGTGGCAGATCGGGTGGGCAGCTGAGAATGAATGGGGCTGGATCGCTCCGGTGGCGCACATTGCTCCAGCCGAGTGTTGTGGGCACAGTCAGCGCCCGCCACCTCCCCACCCTGGCCGTCCCTGCTAGGCGCTCTCCCCTCCTTCCTCTCGGGGGGCGCGGCGCGGGCGTGGGCTGGGAAGGAAGGAACCGGGAAGGGTGGGGTTGGGGGGCAGGAAGGCGAGGGGTTGGGGGCGGAGAGGGCGGAAGCGGCTGCCGGGCCGCCCTTCGCCCGGGCGGGGCCCTGCGGTGTGGCCGCGGCTCATGCCTGCCGCTTTCGCACCCCTGCGGCCCCCCACCTGGTGCGGCAGTGCAGGCGGGCGTGAACCTCGGTGCACCAGGAGGCTCTTCCCGCGGGAGGCGCCCGGCTTGCGCTAATTGGGGCGGGGGGGGCGGGGGAGGAGGGAGCTGGCGCGCGGCTCGGTTTCCATTAGAGACGCAAAGTTTCTGCTCCGGGAGGAGGCGGTGGCGCGGCGGGCTCGCCGCATGGGGAGCAAAAGCGGGTGGGAGGTGCGGGTCGGCCTTGGCCGCGGCACTGGAGCGTGGGGGCCGGGGATGGGGACCCTCCAGGCCGAGGAGCGGCGGCGTCCGGACGCCCGCCTGGGGGCCGCCTTGCACCCCGCCTGCTTTCGGGCACGCGCCCTGCTCAGCCCCTGGTTGCTCGTTCCTCCTGCCCCGCGCACTTCCAGGACGCAGAGAGTTGCCCTCCACGTTTCCGCTTTCTCTGCAGCCTCTAGATTGCCAGATGCTACTGTGCGCCTCTCTGGGTGCTTTCCACAGCCCCTTCCTCCCTCGGCGGACAGGGCTGACATCACCGACTGCATTTCTGGTTTGGCGGGTGGGGAGATGGTTCCCTGCAGGGTTCTGTAACGCCTTTGCCCACAAGGCTAGCGCCATTTGGGGGAGGAGGATTTCGTTGTCTAGAAACTTAATGTTCCTGGTAACCCCTCTAACAAGAGAGTTTTGTAGCAAGGTGGGGCTGTTCTCCCCTTAAGGTGACAGATTCTCTTGCAAGGTGTGGCAGCGCTTGCTGTTGTGCAAGACAGATGTTGCCCTGATGTTACATAAATCATCGTGTCTCCGTCCTTTAAAGAAAGCCAGTTTTTAGTGAATGGGGTAGAAAGGAAGACCCGTTTGTAATTTGTAAAAAACAAGTTTTTGCTCAAAATCAATGTATTGGAACATCATTCCTACTGTTAAAGTTTTCACTTAAGAGAATACACTTCATCACCTTTCTATTAGGACTTATTTTGTAATTGGATTCTTAGGCATCCTTCATTAAAATGGAAATACATATTAGCTGCCCTTGAAGTCTCGATTCTCTCGGCTGGAAGCACAGGTTCAGTGTGGTAGAGACCAAATAATACAAGTGAGAATTACCTTCGTGGCCATTACTCCAATGAAGTGTGTTTGTTAAGAGCAGTTCTTACGTCATTCTTAAGGTAGATAGGGTTAATACTCTCCAGCAAATTTAATGGATACTCTTTGCCAGAAAAGAGAGAAGTATATTTATAGTCTGAGAATTGTAGTTTTCTGTGTACCTAATTTTTGCAGTTTTGTAACACTGTGTAAGATGGTACCAGTTTTTCCTGGCTTCTGAATCATAGGATAATTTGACCTAGGGCATTATCGGTTGTAATGGTAGGCTTTTAACAAATAACTGCCTAATTTAAAGGATTGGAAAGCATTTGTTACATGGAAATGAAGTTGATGGGGTACCTAGCTGCTGTATATTTTCTTCCACTTAATTATTATTTCTCATAAAATGGATATAAAAGCCTGCTAATCCAACCCAATGCCATTATGTAACGCTAGTTTGGAGATTTTGAGGGCCTGGAGCAGTGTGCAAGGTGTGCTAAAAGCCAGCCCCTGGATGAGATCCTGATCCTGGCTGTGGTGGCAGTGGCAGTGGGCTGGGTCCCTTGTTGGCGGAAGAGGGGGGACTAGTGTCCATGATGCAGTAGGTGGCGCTCTTCTGTCTTAGAGTCTGCTGCCACTGCAGCTGGTGCCACGGGGCCTTCTGCCACTAGAGGTGCCATTTTTCACATTGTGAACTTAGCCTAGTGAGATTGCGGAGCAAACTAAGCCACGGGCCCAGAAAAGAAAATTTAGAAGTGAGCAGATGTCGCTTCCTTGTAATCCTTTGTTAAAATAGCGTAGAGAGTTTCCTTTATTCTAGTTACTTTGGTTAAGTGACAGTGCTACAGGTTTCAAAATATTTTTTATGAGTGATTTTTGAAAGATCACAATATTAAGAATGTAACTGGAAAGCCTATGTTGATCTCAACCAAACTATGGTGGACTGAATGATAACCTTTTCTTTCTTCATGTAGGCTGATCAGCTGACCGAAGAACAGATTGCTGGTAAGTTAACTCCAGGGAGTCCCCAGAAGGCCAGAACTAGGCACTGACTCAGTTTTGGTGACTCCTCTGTTCCTTCCCCCTACAGTCTGGGCAGTTTTCTAGGAATTTATTTAAAGAAGAACAGTAAGAAGAAACATTTAGGTCAGGTGTTACTCCTGCCAGTACTTCATAGATGAGGCGAAAGGAAGTAAAACTAAGGATGCCCACTTGTTAAACTGGAGAATTTGACCATGTTCCACAGTGTGCAAAGTTTGCATATGATTAAATTGTACTGAGCCTGCTACTCAACAGTTTAGTTTACAATTCTTATGCCACGGGTCTTTCAGTAATCTGCCATGGAAGCTTGTGCTTGCTATCCTAAAATAAATGAAAATGAGTGTTAGGACCACTGTAATAATTAGGAAGAAAGTTATATTAGTTCAACTTTTTGCCCAGGCTGGACTCGAACTCCTGGGCTCAAGCAGTCCTGCCTCAGCCTCCCAAGTAGCTGGGACCATAGGCATGTGCCGCTACGTCTGGCAGATTTTAGCTTTTTATTCCCTGGAGGACTTGTTTTGAGACTGTGTCTCTTTAGGAAACCAGAAATGCCTCTGAAATATCCTAAAAGTCACATAGAGAGAAACAGACTGGTTACCTGGGAATGTCCATTTCTAGTAATCATCTCATGTTGCTATGAAACAAGGGATTTTTAAGGCATCAGAAATGTAACAGAAAGGGACTTGAAGGGGGCACATGGACCAGTCTTATCAGATTGGATTTCATTGCTTGAACCCAGGAGGCAGGGGGTTGCAGTGAGCCAAGATTGCACCACTGCACTCCAGCCTGGGTGACAGACAGAGGGAGATTCCCTTGCCAAAAAAAAAAAAAAAAAGAAAGATTGGATTTAGGACCAATTTAAGCATGTTCCAGCTTAGCTGCCTTTAAACATGGGAATATTGTGGTTTACTGGGAGCAGTGTTTGCTTTGTGGGCTGCTGTATGAAGGCCAGTCCAACAGGACTTTTGTGGTCTTTATTTCAATAGATAAAAACCAGACAGCTTCTGATACCTTGCACAACTTGAATGGCTTGCTTTGGCAAGCTCCCGGCAAGTGTGTATTGTGACTGGGTTGGATAAAGACATTCATTTTAAAGCGTCAACTTTTGTTTTCAGAATTCAAAGAAGCTTTCTCCCTGTTCGATAAAGATGGTGATGGCACCATCACAACAAAGGAACTTGGAACTGTCATGAGGTCACTGGGTCAGAACCCAACAGAAGCTGAGTTGCAGGATATGATCAACGAAGTGGATGCTGATGGTAAGGGCTTTAGAATCATGAATAAGGGCCATTGTTGTGTCATTCAAGTTCAGACATGTTAGAAGATTGTCTGGTTCAGGGCCCCAGAGCAAACCAAATGTGCAAAGATCCTTTCTGTGGTTGCCTTAGGGCCATTGACAATTAAAATAGAAGATTATGGGCCATGCGTCCACGCTGCTTACTGTCTAGAACGTTTCCTGCATGCGATCAGATCACTGTGTTGTTTTTTTCTGCTTGCTGTGACTTAGAGCTCAAATCTTTTTTTTTTTTTTTCTGAGAGGGAGTCTCACTCTGTCACCCAGGCTGAAGTGCAATAGCACGATCTCAGCTCACTGCAACCTCTGCCTCCCAGGTTCAAGTGATTCTCCTGCCTCAGACTCCCAAGTAGCTGGGACTACAGGCTCACGCCACCACGCCTGGCTAATTTTTTGTGTCTTTAGTAGAGACGGGGTTTTCACCATGTTGCCCAGGCTGGTCTTCAACTCTTGACCTCATGTTCTGCCCACCTTGGCCTTCCAAAGTGCTGGGATTACAGGCATGAGCCACTGCTCCATACTGAGCTCACATCTTTTATCAACTGGCCCATGAGTCTGCACTGAGTCTTGAGAGGGAGATAAAATTAAAGAGCCATAGAACATGCTTTTTAACAAACTTACTGTGTCTAAAAGAGGAGGAGGGACCGCCGGATGAAGTGGGTGACGAGCACTCTTAGAAGTTACCATAGAAGTGAATACAGTGTGAGCTGTAGATGTGTTTGCTGCAGAGGAGCATGTGAGGTTCAGAGGTGGGGTGTGTGGTGACTCTGGGGGATAGATCTGCAGAACCTAACAGAAGGGGAAGCTGTAAGGTGCAGGGGCAGAGGGAACCAGCAGTAACCCTGTCTATTCCTCTTGACTCTACAGCAGTGGACAGCAGGCCTTTTATTGCTGATTTACCATCAGTAAGCAGTCTTTGAAGCACACTTCCCCTGCCCTAAAAAAAAAAAATGTATTTTCGTACCACACATACACATAACACACACACATACAGAC